GGGCCTGGCTGGAGCTCACCACAGTGGGGTGTCTGGCATGAGTGACCACTGACCGTCCCATCCCCACAGATGGACTGGTGTCCTACAATGCACCAGCCGGGCAGCAGCTTGTCCTTCCTGGGGGCACCATCATCTACCTGAACGACTCGGTGTACGACGGGGCGTTTGGGTACAGGTGAGGACTGGGCGGGCTTGCGCACATCGTGGGTGCCACACCAGACAGGAGGGGATGGGGGTGTTTTGTTCTTGGGTTTGCAGGCGGATGTGCTGATCCTCAGCAGAGCAAGTACTTGGGGTCTCCCTGAAGCAGGGGACATGGCCAGCTCTGAGAGGCTGCACATTGTGATGGGGACAGCATGATGGGGAAAAGCACCTCCAGCCCTGCTCTTGCACTAACTGCACTGCATGTTCAGCATCCCACAGCCTTTTCCAGAGAGAACATCAAGAGCAGAACCCCCTCCTGAATTTCCCAGGGGCTGTGAGGAGCTGCCGGGGTGGTGCTGGGTGGTGGCAGGTTTGTGGGGTTGGTGACAGTCACGCTTCCTTTCCCCCCTCACACACACAAGCATGACGGAGGGCCTGGGCCAGCTGACGGATGGCGTGTCGGGGCTGGACGACTTCACGCAGACCCACGAGTACCACGTCTGGCCGGGCTATGACTACGTGGGCTGGCGCAGCGAGAGGACGGCCAGGGAAAAAACCCTCGGATTCGGCCCGCACCGGGACCTCCCCCGCCATGAAGGTCTGTGCACCCCCCGCCCTGTCCCCCCTCCCTGTCCCCCACCATGGCCACGCTGACGGGCTGCCCCACAGGTCCACTGCAACAACATGTTTGCCAAAGGGGTAAAGATCTTCAAGGAGGTGCAGTGCTACTTCCGCGCCGACACCAGCGAGTGGGAGCCCAACGCCGTCTCCTCGGTGCTGGTGCTGGACGACGTGAACCCCAGCGCCCGCTTTGTCACCGTGCCCCTGCTCCACCGCATGGCCAACGCCATCAAGTGCCAGTACTACTTCGCCGACACCTGGATGTTGTTCAGCGAGATCACCTTCCAGTCGGGTACCTGCTGCCATGAGACCTGCGGGGTCTGTACCCTCCTGAGGGGGGTTCAAGGAGGGAGTGGGGCTGTGGGGCAGTCACACCCTCCACCCTGATGTTCTTCTCTTCTCCCTTACCAGACGCGGCCATGTACAACAACTCAGTGGCCCCTCCGGAGATGCCTGTGGTCCCCACCACTTACGGTAAGGCATCAAAAAGCACATTGCCCTGAGCTCGGTGGGGGATGCTCTGGGGTCTCTGCCCCATCCAGTGGAGGAAAGGGGCAGCAGCTCTCCCCACACTGCAGCGTGACCAGCTCTTGCTGTCCCCTTCTCCTGCCAGACCCCACTCTCAAGGTAGACGACAGCAACACGCGTATCCTGATTGGGTGCCTGGTGGCAATCATCTTCATCCTGGTGGCCATCATTGTCATCATACTGTGGCGGCAGTTCTGGCAGAAGATGCTGGAGAAGGTGGGTAAGGATGGGGTGGTTATCAAGGTGCCCCAGGGTGGCGGGCTCATCCCAGGCAGGTTCTCCTAGGAGCTCAGCATGGGGAAAGCAGAGTCCGTGCTGGGGCTGATGCTCCCTTCCCCTCCTCAGGAACATTGTGGTCTGCACGCATCTCGTGAGCAAGGGGATTTAGCTGAGCAGGGTGGTGACTTTGGGACCTGCCTCCTTGTCTATCCCTCTGTCCTGAAGCTGGGCTGGGGAAGAGGAGTCTGAGGGGGTCCCACTGCAGCCCCCAAGGGCAGTTGCAGAGGTGATGGAGCCAAGCTCTTCTCCAGAGAGGCAGACAGTAGAAGCGGGAGACATGAGGACAAATGTCTTCACTGGGCAGGTGCTGCAGCCCTGGGACAGGGCACCAGAGAGTGGGGCTTGGGACTGGGCATGGCCACAGTGCCATGGAGCACAGGAGACCCTGTCCCAGCTCTCTTCTCCCTTGCCCCTGTCTCACAGGCATCACGGAGGATGCTGGATGATGAAATGACCGTCAGCCTCTCCCTGCCCAGCGAATCCAGCATGTTCAACCACAACCGCTCCTCCTCCTCCAGTGAGCAAGAGTCCAGCTCCACCTATGACCGCATATTCCCCCTGGGACCTGACTACCAGGAGCCCTCCCGCCTGATCCGCAAGCTGCCCGAGTTCACCCCGGGGGAGGAGGACACAGGTGAGAGCCGAGACACGCTGCATGCTGAGGGCCAGCCACCATCCACCAAGCCTCATGCAGACCCAGCTTT